TCTCCATGAATACTCCTTGGTTGGAGTATGAGTCTCTGGGAAGTTCCCTGTGTTCAAATTTTCTTGTTCTGTTGCTCTCCTTGTGGAGTTCCTGTCCTCTCCAGCTCTTACTATTTCCCACTTCTTACATAAAATTCCATTCACTCTGCCTGACAGTTGGCCATCAGGCTCAGCATCTGCTTTGACAGTCTGCATGGCAGAGTCTGTCAGAGGCCCTCTGTGGCAGGTTCTGAGGTTGTTTCCTGTTTTCTTCTTCTGGCTTTCAGAGGCCCTCTGTAGCAGGTTCCTAGGTTGTTCCCTGTTTTCTTCTTCTTCTGATGTCCATCCTCTTTGCCTTTCAGGATGCGGATTGGGCATTTTAGTTAGGGTCCTCTCTTTTGCTTAGTTTGTTCAGATGTACAGATTTTAGCGGGTTTATCCTATGTTGTATGTTTATATGAGTGAGTATATACCGTGTGTGTCTTTTTGCTTCTGGGACAACTCACTCAGGATGATCCTTTCCAGGTCCCACCATTTACCTGCAAATTTCATGATTTCTTTATTTTTCATTGCTGAGTAATACTCCATTGTATAGATGTACCACAGTTTCTGTATCTATTCTTCAGTTGAGGGGCATCTGGGCTATTTCCAGCTTCTGGCTATTACAAATAAAACTGCTACAAACATAGTTGAGCAAATGTCCTAAATGTGTACTTGAGCCTCTTTTGGATATATACCTAGGAGTGGTATGGCTGGATCTTGAGGAAGCACTATTCCTAGTTGTCTGAGAAAGCGCCAGATTGATTTCCAGAGTGGTTGTACAAGTTTACATTCCCACCAGCAGTGGAGAAGGGTTCCCCTTTCTCCACAACCTCTCCAGCATGTGTTGTCACTTAAGTTTTTCATCTTGGCCATTCTGATGGGTGTAAAGTGAAATCTCAGGGTAATTTTGAATTGGATTTCCCTAATGGCTAATGAGGTTGAGCATTTCTTTAAGTGCTTCTCTGCCATTCGATATTCCTCTACAGAGAGTTCTCTGTTTAGCTCTGTTCCCCATTTTTTAATTGGATTACTTGGTTTGCTGCTTTTCAGCTTCTTCTTTATATATACTGGATATGAGTCCTCTGTCAGATAAAGGGTTGTTGATGATTCTTTCCCAATCTGTAGGCAGTCGCTTTGTTTTGATGACGGTGTCCTTTGCTTTACAGAAGCTTTCCAGTTTCATGAGGTCCCATTTATTGATTGTTGCTCTTAGAGCCTGTGCTGTTGGTGTTCTGTTCAGGAAGTTTTCTCCTGTACCAATGAGTTCTAGGGTATTCCCCACTTTTTTTTCTAGCCGACTTAATGTGTCTGGTTTTATGTTGAGGTCTTTGATCCACTTGGACTTCAGTTTTGTGCAGGGTGATAAGTATGGATCTATTTTCATTTTTCTGCATGTAGACATCCAGTTAGACCAGCACCATTTGTTGAAGATGCTATCTTTTTTCCATTGTATGTTTCTGGCATCTTTGTAAAAAATCAGGTGTCCATAAGTATGTGGTTTTATTTCTGGGTCTTCTGTTCGGTTCCATTGATCCACCATGCAGTACCATGGATTTCATTGATTCTGTAGGTTCCTTTTAGTGTCAAAGAAAAACAGGAATCTCCCAATTAATTAATTTAATTAATTAATTAAAATAACAATAAGTAGAATCCATCAAAGAGTTGGTTATTTAAAAAAAGTCAAGAGTTGGTTCTTTAAAAAAAAATAGTACCCAGTGGGTTCCTTAGTAAGGGAACAGGGACTGTCTCTGATATGAGCTCAGTGGCTGGCTCTTTGACCTCCCCGCCACCCCTGAGGGGGGTGCACCCTTGCTAGGCCACAGAGGAGGACAATGCAGCCAGTCCTGATGAGACCTGATAGGCTAAGGTCAGATGGAAAGGGAGGAGGACCTCCCCTATCACTGGACTCAGAGAGGGGAATAGGAGGAGATGAAGGAGAGAGGGTGGGATTGGGGGATACAAAGTGAATAAACTGTAATTGATATAAAAAATTAAAATTTAATTAAAAAATAGTCAAATCAGTCAAAGAAAGGAGATAATCAAGTTAATAAAATGAGTGATAAAGAGGGAGTTAGTTGAGAGTCCAATGAAACAGAGCTTATCATTAGCAAGTACTTTGAAAATTTATATTCCAAATTCCTGAATTATCTATAATAGACTGATAAATTCCTACATACATATGTCCTGCCAAAATTAAATCAAGAAAATATAAATATCTAAAGTAGATACAAAACAGTTGAGAAGAATGAAGTCATATTAAAAAGCATGCTAGGAAAACAAAATTCAGGACCAAATGAGAGTCACTGTAAATGATATAAAATCTTTAAAGAAGAATTAAGACCAAATGGCCTCAGACTGCTTCATAACACAAGAAAGGCAGGAGCACTACCAATTTCATTCTATGAAGTCAGTATTATTCTCTAGGTAATTGGATAAGCAAACACAAATCATGGACCATTTTTTTTGGTTTAGAGAGTCATTTTTCTTTGATATTGAGGTGTATTGTTAGGTTATTAATTTGAGATCTTTCTGAAATCAAAATCAAAACCATTCTAAATCTTATGGAATGTTAAAATGAAATAACTATTCAAATATTCATTTAAAAACCCATAATGTAATGTAACTGGGCAACTTTCAAAGAAAGGGAGCTTTTGTATATCAGGTAACTACAGCAAGTGAACAATACCCTGTATTGTCTCAAAGGGTAGAATCAATAGATTCAATGAAACTCTTTGTGGCACAGAAGAAATAAGAAATACATACTTTTTAATTTTTTCTTTTTGTTTCTTCCAACTCACTATCTTGATTATCAGTCTTTGCTTTCACAATAGGAATACTTTTTTTCACTTTTCATCAAAACAAAACCTGATAATTGAAGGTAAGCTGCTTTCAGGATTGAAGCAAAGGCTGATCAATACTGAAGTAAGATGGCTTGGACTTGAGGATATTTACTAAGTAGAGTAAATCATACACAGAACTACAGATACTATGTGACTACAATATAGGAAGCATCTGAAATCCACTGATAGAGCGGGGAATGGAAGCTTCCAGAGCCAAGGCATCAGAGGTGAGGAGCGCAAGTCAGAGTGGTTACAATGACAGACAGGCTTAGGGTTGGCAGTCCAACGTGCCCATGCTCAACAGCACTACACTGTAAGATGAGCAGTGTTCTGAAGGTAAAACCCATGTTCACCGCTCTGAAAGCAACAAAAAGTAATCGAGTCCCTGCAGAAGGGTACAGGTCTAGTGCAAAACTAGAGCGACTAGTGGGAGGACTTCCAGGGTTAATACCAGCCTGGGCTATGAAAAGAAATACGCATCCAGGCCAAGGAAGGGTTATCTAAAGTCTTACCCTGTGTGAGAATCAAATTTTGCCTTTCAAAGGTTTAGAGCATTAGCCCAGTATTCTAAAATTACACAGTAAGAGAACATTAGATATACTCCTTCCTTATTAGGTGTATCCCTAGTGCCTAACAAGCCTTCTTCCTTAGTATATCTCAGAGGCTCCAAAACCAGAAGAGCACACCACTACTGTGCAGAAGGTCTTCTCTTGGTGATCAGACTTCACCTCCTACCCTGCTCTCTACCCTTCCCCAGGCCTTCCATGTCCCAAGACATTAGAACAAGAATGAATATACATACGTAAAATTTCATAAGCATTCTAAATGTTTTTCATAATCAGGGAACAGGTGGAAAGCAGTAGGTTAGTAACTTTCCAAGTCATGCTCTTAATTATGTTTGTGAGCTGGGTCTACTACTAGAGAAATAGAGCTTAGCTGTTGACTCCTTAGTAGCAACCAGGCTACAGGCATGAAACAAACAGTGCCCAGTTTATAGCCCGAGTCCCCATGGCATGACACTCTATTCTGAATTATGTGCCAAGGCACTTTCTTAAACAATTTGGAAGGTTTGTCAGACATTGTCCATGTCAGATATTAGAGAGTACTGTCAAAGAAACTTACAAAGTTGTTCAGCAGAAGAGTAAATGAAATTTAAGTGTCCTAGGCTGTCACTGTTACTGTTTTGTTTTTGGGTAACAGCATCCAGTCTCCAGATGATAGTAATAGCATCTAATCTCAAAGGAAACAAGACTTCTCTACAGTAAACAGCAAGCTGGTCTCAACAGCACCTTTGCTTTTAGAAAGCTGAAGTTAAACATTCTGATGTCACAAAGAAAAATACATGATTTCAAACCACATATATTTAATGCCCACACAGGGCTTGTTATGTCATAATATTTTTATTTTTGTTTTGGAAGCAAGTAGGCGATTTCTCAAATGCCAACCATTTCAATACAGCTTCTGACACATACGAGAATGACTGAACTACATTTCACAGTTTACTCACATCTACACCATGAAATCTTGTGTTTCGAAATGAGTTGGGCCACAAACACATTCGCAACTGAACTAGTTTGAAAATCTGTTTCTCTAAAACATGTTCTCTCATCAACAAATATCTCACCATACAAGGACCAGGAAACCAAGACAATGCAGAGAGCAATCCATTAAATAAACTCTCTCAAAAAATATGTGTGTAATGCAGAAATAATTAACAAAGAGTAAATCCTACTATGATTCATTCAACATTAATATAAAACCTCACATTTTCTACAGCAGACTCTTTTCTAAGAGTCCAGTTTTCATTCTTTTAAAGTGTTTTAATACAAACATAAATAGTCATTTGAGGTTTTATTTTAGCCAATCTTCAATGTCCTCACAAATTTCAATACTTGATAAAGTAACTTAACGAGGCTTTAAAGTAATAGAATAGGATTTTAAAAAGAGGAACACAGATGATCCTAATTCTAAGAGATCTCATTCAAAGAAAGAAATAATACAACATAGTTAAGCAGTTCAGCCTTGCCCCTGCCCGGAGGTGGTTTCCTATGATGAGTATGAAGAAAAATAAGCAGTCACCGTAGAAGAACTAAAGAGCAGAAGTGAGGACTATGCAGACACTACTTGCCGGGAGCATACCTTTCTCTCTCTCCTTCAGTGATATCATATAACTGGTTGGCACCTCCATCAGCACAGGCTTTTAAGAGAGCTTCAAACAAAAAAAATGTAAATCATGTCAGTACAGATGGCAAAGCGTAGTTCTCTCCCATGAACACCACAGGAAAGCAAACACTCTGAACATAAAGTAGCACTATCCCCTGGAACGTGACATTCACCTTATGACACATCTGCTGTTCTTACATGTGACTCTACCTAGGAGGACAGAACCACCTACAGACCCTCTGCATCTTCCTCAGTCCCTCAGAGGAGAGGTGGAGAGCATGTAGGGGTAACATATCCTACAATTTGTCTTTCCTCTTTTATAACAGAAGGTAGGTTCACGGTCATGACAGGCAGCAGGATTCAGCTGATGGTCAGATGCTATGAGGATATTACCACTTTGGCTTTGCATTGCCATTGGGAACAGTGGTACTTTCAGGTGACAGACAGCCAATCTCATTTTCTTCGACTCATTTGTCTTCTCTCTGGAAACACTGAAGACCTTCTTTTTCTCCCTGATATTTTATTTTTTTTCCCGAGACAGGGTTTCTCTGTGTAGCCTTGGCTGTCCTGGACTCAATTCGTAGACCATGCTGGCCTCGAACTCACAGAGATTCACCTGCCTCTGCCTCTTTGAGAGCTGGGGTTAAAGGTGTGCACCACCACACCTGGTTTCTCTTCAATGTTTTGGGCTTCAAAACTGTGCCTAAGCAAACAGTGCTTCTCAAAGCTGAGGAAACATCTCTCTCAAGTTTTGGAGGAATATTAGTCATTTTAACTCAGTTCCTTCCCACCTTCTATCTTGTCTATTTTCTATCTCTGAGAAGGCCAATGAAACATTTCTGTTGGCAATCTTACCTGCCCTCAACCTTTCTCCAAAGTTTCATTCTTGTCTCCCTTCTGTATGTGACCAATTATGTCAACTATCTTTCAATTCATAAAATCTCTCTGCAATTATGTAAATATATATTATATTTTGCTAATAATTGTTTGTTAATTAGTTAAGGTAACTTTTTTAAACTATTAAACCTATTTTCAATAAAGGACCTTTATTATATTTTGTTGATAATTTTTAAATCTTTATAAGGCAAAATAAAATAAAATGAGATAAAACAAAAGCTAACACACTGGAGTTGGACAAAACAAAGAGAAGGAAAAGAGCCCTAGAGTAGGCACAAGAAACAAAGGCCCCTCGTTTGCACACACAAGAATCCCATTAAAAACACTAAAAACACTGGAAGCCATAATATAAATGTAAAAGGTCTCTGTGCAGGCCCTGTGCATGCTGATTGGGTCTTGGAGCATAAATATGAGCTTTGAGCATGTTGAATTAGAAAGCTTGGCTTCATTTACTTATTAAAAAAAAAAAATCTTTGCCCTAAGGGTTCAGATCAAACTATTTTTATCCTATGGAGTAGGTGTGGATGCAAGATATTGGTGATTTAACAGGAGAGTATAGTAATTTCTTTACTTTTAATAGATCAAAGTCTTGCCTTCTGCCCCTAAGCAACTCCTAAAAATCAAAGCCACTAAGTACATTAGTTACTTTTTCATTGTGATCTATGTAAGAGTAATAAGGAATAATGATGCCACAGACCCAAATTCATGCTCTCTTGAAATTCTCTCCACCAACGAAATTAGTCATTTACTTTCTTATTTAGTCTCAGGCAAGTGGCATAATATAGCCAGATTATTTTTCAAAATATTACATGAATAGTTTGTAGCCCAGTTGCTGATAGTTTTTATTTCTATCTGCAGGTTTCTAGTCTCTGTTTTACTCTCAACAACACTGTCTTCCAGGTTCCTAATAGAACTACAGAACAGCCCATTAAGTTCTGCTTATAGCATTCAGCTGCTTTCCTAGCCCAAAGTTCCAGTGTCTTCCACACTAAGTCATGAGCATGAGCAAATGCCTGACACAGAAATGGCTGCAGAAGAAACCACCTACTACTCTGCTGACCTACTTCTTCATTTTAAAACTGTCCATCATCTTTTTTGTGTGCAAATTTAGCTATATAAATGAAGACTTAGAACAGATAACTCTTAACTTTTGAAATGTTAACAGCAGGAAAGATAATGTAATGGATATCTAACCAGCCCTATTGAGAGAACAAAAGCCCCATCAAAGTCTAAGGTTTTCTTTTCTGTGATCCCTGTTATACATGAAGTAAAGTGCAGCCTAAGTGAGCAAAACACATGCAGTTTAGCTTGAGCTTTATCACCTATGAAAAGGGGCCACTAAACAATCAATATTTTAAGAATTACATGGAGTCTTTCTCACAATACATGAACACAAGGGCATTCAGTAAACAGTATTCTCTGCTTTTTGTTAAAATTTAAATATCTATCTATCTATCTATCTATCTATCTATCTATCTATCTATCTATCTATCTATCTATCTA